TTTTTTTTTTTGAGGCAGGCTGTCTTACTCTGTTGCCCAGGCGGGAGTGCAGTGGCACACTCATGACCACCGCAGCCTCGACCTGAGTTGGAGACAATTTTAGAAAATGCAACTGAAATATTTTATTAGCCAGGATCTTACTCTGTTACCCAAGCTGGAGTGCAGTGGCACAATCACAACTCACAGCAGTCTCAATCTCCTGGGCTCAGGTGATCCTTCCCCCTCAGCCTCTCGAGTAGATGGGACTGTAGGTGGGCGTCACCATACCTGGCTAATTTTTTTTTTTCTTTTTCGGTAGAGGCGAGGTGTCACTGTGTTGCCCAGGCTGGTCTCAAACTCCTGGGACCAAGCAATCCTCCCACCTCAGCCTCCCAAAGTGCTAGGATTACAAGCATGAACCACCATGCCCAGCCTGATGTTCTTTTTAAAGTATCATGCAGTAAATGTTTGTTGAATAAATACGCGAAAGAATGAGATAAGCACATATGCTGTTTTTTAAAAAGACAAACATGAACAGTTTCCTGTCGCTTCCTGTTTGTATCTAACACAGACAGAAACAGAAATAGTTAAGCTTGTTAAAAAATACATAAAGTGAATAGTCCAAACCTTTCAACTACTTCGATGTCAAAGCAGAACCGTTTGTCAATTGAATCTGTCTTTCGTCGGATACAAGATTTTAATTTAAACATTTCCGGGGAGCTAGTAACAAGGCCATTCTGAAACAAGAACACCACCAGATTATTAACATGCTGGTAAGGTGAAAGTGAGTTAAAACACATTAAATACTGGTCTAAAGTTGTTCCATTAAAATATTTACCTGAGAGTACAGCTTATGTATACAGGTCTTAATCATAACCCAGCCCTTTTGTTTTCTTCCCAATTATAAGGCATGAAACCATTTATTAATAAATTAATGGCATATGCATGTTTTATTTCAAATAATTATGTAACAAGCCTGTCTAGCACTCCTCAAATTACTTACTTATGTTAAATTAAACTGTAATGTACACTCCCTTAGGACTTCACATTTAGAGAAGGTGTGATATAATAGAGTCACTGTAACATAACAATCAGATACACAGAATGCTCATTACGCTATGACACTCTTGTTCTTAATCAAAATTCCCAGACTGCTTAGAGATTAGTATCGTGTATCTTTGTACTAGAGCCTCATAATATTAAACAGTAGTGAGTTGAAACTGACAAGAGCTATCAAAACCATAAAGTCCCAGCAGATACTTGCTACAATGCTGTTGCTATCGTATATGCCATGTGACTGCCTACCTAGTAACCAACCACCACTGCGTTACTGAAACTGACACTCTGGGCGGGATCCAACAACGGCCGAATTCTGAGGACGTCTCTTTTCTCACTGAGATGCTAGTCTATTTGCAGGGGTAAATTCACTCAATGTCTGATTAACTCTGTCTTTGGCTGCAAATGTCATCGATTTATTAGTAGAACTTTGGCTTGGTCTATTTACCTTATTAACTCATTGTCACATAAATTGCATTTCTGGCAGTATCTACTACAGAGAGTAAAAACTAGGTGTGTCTATGGCACTGAATCACTTCCCATGATGTCAGTGATCTAAGGCGTCTGTTTCTCTGGTATTTCTTCTTTGCTTTATGTCTTTTCATTTGAATTATTAGATTCTGATGAACGCCCAAGTACAATCAGTTTTGGCTGGCGTGTTTGAGTATGTGTCCAAGTTAGACCAGCACGTACCTCTGCCATGATCTGTTCCACAAATTAGCTAGGCAAGGCACTTACTTCCTACACATTTTATTTTATTTCCTGCTAAAATAAGACTGGACTAAATTATCTTTAGGATAACTACCAGCTCTGGGATTCTTAGATCACGGCCTAGTTATCTCATTCACAAGTTCATTCACTGCCATATTCAAGTATCTTAACTCACAAAAAGATTATATACTACCCGCCATAAAGCTCATGCAGCATTTACTCAATAAAGTTTGCTGCATTCTATACCGTTTGCCAGCCACGCGAGACACTTGGCGACCGACTGACTTTTGGGGTAAATGAGTATTGGTTGGTTTCTTCTGAGAAACCAGGTCTGGCATTTCGGAGCAGAAGGTGAAAAGGCAGGCAGGGGCAAATGCAGTCCCCACGGAGGCCCCTGGTGGGGAGGAATCGTAGAGTCCCTGAGACTGGCCCTGCCACTGACAGTCCTTTCCCGGGTTCCTAACCCACTGACAGCACGGACGAATAACCCTGCTGCCTGGGACGTGAGATGACACCTCATCATCTATAGAGGGATCCTACATTTAACTCTACTGCTTATAAGCATTCATGGCCATGTTAAAGGAAAACCCTGGCCACTCTTTTTAAGTCACTAAAGCACGGGCTCTGTGGCTCAGCCTGTCATCCCAGCACTTTGGGAGGCCGAGGCGAGTGGATTGCCTGAGCCCGCAGGTTTGGGACCAGCCTGGGCAACTTGGCAAGACCTCGTCTCTACAATAAAAAAAAAAAAAAAAAACATTAGCTGGGTGTGGTGGTACGTGCCTGTAGTTCTGGCTAGTTGGAAGGCTGAAGCGGGAGGATCACTGTAGCCCAGCAGTCGACCAGCTGGGGTGGCCGGGAGCATGCCCCTGCACTCCAGCCTGGGCAATGGAGTGAGACTCCAACTCAAAAAAAAAAAAAAAAAAAGAAAAGAAAAAAAAAGAAGTCACTAAAATAGGTGGAAATATTTTAACTTTAAAAAATGTTAAATGTGTATATATTAGAAAAGTAAGCACATCTGATTTTTTGTTCTAATTCTATTAGTTCAATAACAAGCTTGGTTAAAGAAAACGAAACGAACTCACCATTTTCCCACTGGATTTCATTTCTGAAACACTCATTGTGAACGTTTTACCTCCCTTATCATAGGTACAATAATGTTTAATCCACGTAAAACCAAGTGGTCCTAGGGTAAGGAAACAAAAACGTTTCAGATTCGGTCAATCAATGCTTTGCATCAAAGTTTGCATAATGCCCAAAGCCACGATACACAACTGAGTGCCTCCACATACCGAGCTAGTTTGTAACACTCCCCGTGAGTGAGCGAGGCCTGCAGGGAGGGACAGTGGGACAGGGTTGGAACCAGACGGTGTGGCTTTACCTGCAGCTGCCCGCTGGCTGCAAAACTCCCCACTTACTTTAGACCTGAGCATCCATGATATAAAAGCGGTATATATCTGCCATGGCAGAGGCTGGAAGAATGAGACACAATAGACTGAGGTTCTAAACACCGTCTCCTGACTTCCAACCCTATTCTCTACTTTTGAAACTGTCAGAAGTATCCTGCCAGGTCACACCACTCCTTTGCTCAAAACCCACTAGTGGCTTCCCACCTCACACCAGACAGAAACCAAAGAGCCTCCGAGAGCCCATCGGCCTACGGGAGCCCACCGGCCAGCCCCCATTCTTGTTCTCATCTCACATCCCCATTGCTTTCGGCCTTGGGACGCTCTGCCCCAGCTAAGCGAGACCCCTTGCTGGTCCTTGAGCAGACGGGGCCTGCATTCCTACCACACGCCACTTACTCTGCTGCTCCTCCAGCCTCAACGCCTTTTCCCTCAGACATCTACATGGCTTGCACTGCCACCTCCCACAGACCATAACCTTTCCTAGGGCGACCTCTAACAACCAGACACTGCCACCTGAATGCTCCTTATTTCTCTTTTTTGGTTTCGTTTCTCCTCAGCAGTTATCACCTCCTAAAAAATATTTACTGCTTAATCTTATGCATTGTGAGTCTCTTCCACAAGACTCTATCGATGACAGCAACAAGAACATGGGCTACCCAGCTAAGAACATGCATTCTGAGTCCTTGGAACAGGGACAGACTCGTGGCGGTTGCCCAACACGTCACCAACGAATGAAAGGACGAACCCCTCCACTACTCTGAGGCTGAGCTTGGAATTATTTTCTCTTACTACTCATCTGAAAAAAAAAATCAATTTACGCTTTAAAAAGAAAACGATTTCCACCATTTATATTGCAGGAAACGTGTACATGGGACACGTTTGCTCTCTTTTTCCCCATCAAGACGGCACGCCCCTTTGCCACAGCCTGCCATGTTACCGCCCAGCATCCTCCTCAAGGAGCTCGGTGCTGTTCCCTCGCCAAGGAGAAATCATCGTTAGCTTAGTGCTTCCATAACCACAGTAGAAATTCCTCAGTTTCCTACAGGGAAGCCGGGTCTCCTGTGCCCAAATGCCTCGGTGGGCTCCGGGATGGAAAAACGAGTTGTTTCCACACAGCTTCTCCACCAGGCACCCATCCTGCTGGACTCCTGGATCTTTCTAGCAACGACTGTGCATATGTTATTGTTGGTTTCGAGGCAGGACCATATATTTAAAAGCAAGAAATTGAAATATTCCAAAAGTACCTCTTGAGAGATGTTTCAGGAACCACTTACATTTCCTTTTCTTAATAACAGCACCCTTGGTGTCAAGTGGAATACTTAAACCACTCCAGATTTTAAAATGATGGGGCGCAGCCATATACTTTGTAATCACAAAGGATGATGGCAATTAACTCTGATTCCGTGGGGGGACCGTTTCACACTGTCATACTTAACAAGACTTGTGGATAATTCCGCGATGCGTGATGTAAGACACTTAAAGGCTTAGAGTTGGTTCGTGGCTGCATAGACATTCTCACACGCAGTGACTTTGCCACTTAGGTGGCGATTTAGGAAGCCACATTAGCTATAATTTTAAAATAAAGCTGCTGCAATGCTCTGATGACATTTTAAACTGAAGAGGGTGTTTGCTGTCCCCATCGTAAGTGCAGAACCTCCTGCCCTTAATCCTCGAGCCTGCTGCACACTCACGCTGCTTTCTTTAAAGTCGACTGGCAGGAGGCCAGGGCAGATGCTCTCAGACAAGTGATTCTACAGTCCCCCAAAGTGTCTGGGAAAATAAGAAGGTACTATAGAGCTCTAAGGCTGCAAAACAAAAGAGGTTTAATTTTCTTACCCAGTCATCATCTAAGGTTGCTGAGGTGAATATTTGCAGAGTGGGAGGGAAATTCACATTCACCGAATACCTAAGTGCCAGCATTTAATCTAATAACTTTTGAAGCCAGATGTTATAAAGAGTATTTTACATATAAGAAAACTGAGCCTGCGACCTGTGAATGGCAATGCTTTCTTTAACAAGGCATGTGATTGGAGTTTTTCTTTTTAAAGGAATCACATTCTCAACAGCTGTTTTAAGAATTAAATGACATAAGGCCAAGCACGGTGGCTCACACCTGCAATCCCAGCAATCTGGGAGGCCGAGGTGGGAGGATCGCTTAAGCCCAAGAGACCAGCCTGGACAACATGGCAAGACCCTGTTTCTAAAAACAATTTAGAAATTAGTCAGGCATGGTGGCGTGTACCTGTAGTCCCAGCTGCTCTGGAGGCTGAGGTGGGAGGATCACCGGAGCCCAGCAGGTCGAGGCTGCAGTGAGCTGTGATCATGCCACTGCACTTCAGTCTGGGTGACAGAGTGAGACCCCAACTCACAATAATAATAGTAATAATAATTAAATGGCAAATTTGTAAATTGCACAGAAGAGTAAGGATTCATGGTAAGCATGGGATCATTATTTGTAACACCACCACTGATAATAAAGACATTTACATATAATAAATAGCTCTGACTCTTGCAACGTCACTATGACACTGGGTATATATCCTTCTCTGACGAACAGAGACTGAGTTCAGAAAACTGCCGGCGAGAGTCACATAGTTGGCAGGTGACAGACACGGAATCACAGCACAGCTCTGCTGGCCCCGGAGCCCAGGCTCTTCCTGGGTTGACAGAAGCCTGGCAGAACGTGGCTTAACACATGCCCAGAGGTGGCCGGACACAAAACCACACACCCCAGCAAATCGGGGCTCTGGTCCAAGCACCTGTGATCCGTGCTCCCCCATCACGGCCACCCCCACTTATCAAGGCTCCAACGTTTACTTTGTGAGTCTGCCTTATGCCTTCAACTACAGAGGGGACACCCCGAAGCCAAGTCTCCTTCTTGTCCCCCACAGAAGGTCCGCATCCGGTGATGACAGCAAGCGCACCATCAGTACCTCCCAGGCAGCCGGTGAGCTTCTCTGATTATAAATGCTTTCAAAGACGCCGAGTTGGAAGGGGCTTTACATAAGCCTCATCTAAGAATAATTCCGAAGCCATGGAAATCCATTCTTTTTTGTTTCTAAATGCCTAGACAGGGGAAGGAGGTGAGGATGGCGGGTGGGAAAAGGCAGGAGGGAGGGATTATGAGGGGGCAAGAGAGAACTTGTGAAGGTGATGAATAAGTGGTTTCACTAGGGCATACGTAAGGCACAACTTAAACTGTATGTGCTCAACAGGTGCGGCTTGTTGTATGCCAGTTATACCTCCATGAAGTTGTAAAAGAAACAGAGAGAAGCAAGAGGGAAATTGTCTTGTGGGGGAGGAAGAAAACGTCAAAAGCGAGGGAGGAGAAGGCGGGAGTCCAACTGTGAGCGCCTCCAACCTCAGCCACTGCGGAGGGGCCATGACAGCCCGGGCACAACCAGACGAGCGCATTTTGGAAGCATCTGCAGGGAGCCCTGCAGAGAGAGGATTTGAGCAGGAGTCCCCAGCCACTGTGCCCTGGCCTGGCACCTATCCGTGGCCCGTTCGGGACCAGGCCGCACAGCAGGGGGTGAGTGATGGTCTGCGGGTGAGGAAATTCAAACATCTCCTTGGAGTTCAAAGTCAAACTTCTGTGTCCTATGGATGAACCAAGTTTTTCATGATCTGAGGGATGGAAGCTATTTATTATGCTCCAGTTATAGAGCGGCTAGGCAGGTCATTCTGTTAAGATCTCAAAACAGCAGACTAGCCAAGGTAGGGAGTTCTGAGAGCCAGATCCCCCGTGCCTGCGTGTCTCTTGCTGTGGGCTCCAGGCAGTCACAAATGTCACTGAGTTTGTCGGATCGAATCGAATTTGCTCGTTTTCACGGCCGCCCAACAAACAAGCATCCCTGGGCACGTCAAATATACGATGTGTTGGCATTCTGGTAATGTATGTGACCATGTCACATTGGTCTAGGCAGAAACAACTGTCCCTCACCACCAACAGTGTGAGGTCAGTGCTCAGGGGATATCTAGTTTGAAAAGGAGTTAATTTAGTCAAAATAGTCAAACTGCTTCCACTTGATGACAAGTACACCACACACACACACACACACACACACACACACACCCTAGTTACAGAAGTGTGAGTGGTTTTTTTGTGTGTGAGAAGAACGTTCTCAGGGTGAGGCCATCACAGGGCTGATGGCTGGGCTTCGGTGACCACTTCCTAACCTCAGGAAGGACAAGTGCCAATGTGACATGACAAAGCTGCCCATTTCACGTCCAAAACTCACGGAGCACAGAATTAAATGAAATAAAGCTGCCGGAGGGGCCAACTATGGCCACAGTCACTAGGACGATTCCTCCTAATAAAGGCTTTGATGTGCAGGCCTTCGTGACACTTTACACTGAGATAGATATCACCATCAAATTCTAAAACTGAGTTCACGTTACCGCAGCCTCAGTGAAGACCACAAGTCCCAAGTTCAACAATCTAGCAACGGAGAGACATCCCAAGGGCAAAACATGGGAAAACAGCCTTGCACTGGGGGTGCGAAAAAGCAGACTAAACACGATCAACCTACAAGGAATTTCGTCTTCTTGCTTGAAAGAAAGACTCCGAGCAGGTTCCTCTGCATGGAAACAGAAGAGGCACGAGGTCCTGGGGGTGACTCACGTTTCTCCTGGACGTACAGGTAGCCCTCCATGGTCCACTGGCTGGGGGGTCTGTAGTCCTGGTTGGCGGATTTCATCCTCTGCATCAACCGCTCCACCTCCTGCCGCGTACTCTCAAAATTATTCCTTGTCTGAAGTCAACAAAACAACAGTTTCACTCGCTGTTTTCCACCAGGTTGGAGGAAACCCCCGACTCCAGTTTCAAAAGCCCCAGTGGTCTCGAGAGAATCTTGGTGCTCGGAGTGATCCACCATATCCAGACCCCGAGATGGAGCGTCCTGTGCTCTGGTTTTCAGTCACTTGAGTGAAAACTTCTGTGACTGACCCTCAGCGTGTTCCTCTCTGAATGTGTGTGTGTGTGTGTGTGTGTGTGTGACTTTCTCCTATCAGCACACTCTGACATGATTTACGGGGGACATTACTTGGGGGGAAAAATATGCAGGATACATTCAATAGAATTTGAATTCTCTAGCACCTAAGCTAAAAAGCAGATGCACAAGGACTTAATTCCTTCTAAAGGAAAAAATAAAGTAAGTTCACATGCTTTTGATATATGTGGCACTGACCAAGTCGAGAAAAAAGTTCACTGCCACCGGCCCAGTGGCTTTTTGGAGAAATATTATCTTGCTTGGTCTATTAACACAGATACTAAGAGGTTATTGTATAAACGAACTCATAAAAATCCGTAGGTTTCCAAGTTCTAACTTCTGTTGCAAAAAACAGTATATGCGCTTTACATCAAATTTACTTAAGTTTACAGAAAGAACCAGGCTTTCCTCTGTGATCTCTCCTTTGCATTCAGGCCACATTTCCTCAAAAGCACACTGTTGAAAACACCATTATCGTCCCCACACCTAACTCTAAGCTCTTATGCCCCATAAGTAAAAGAATGGAATCACTAAGCTAGGACAATTTTCTGGTCCCTTTTGCTCTTCTTCTCTTTCAAACATTAGGGTCCAAATTTTTTTTAATCACTTACTCCTCTCCTACTTCCAAATCCCAGGAATCTGAATACAATTGTTTTGTTTTGTTTTTGAGTTGGAGTCTCACTCTGTTACCCCAGTGTCACCCTGTTGGGCTCTGACGATCCTTCTGCCTCAGCCTTCCAAGTAGCAGGAACCACAGGCGTGTGCTACCATGCCCGGCTAATTTTGTATTTATTGTAGAGACGAGGCCTCTACAATAAATAAAAAATTGCCCAGGCTGGTCTTGAACCTGTAGGCTCAGGCAATCCACTCGCCTCGGCCTCCCAAAGTGCTGGGATGACAGGCTGAGCCACCGAGCAGGGCCAGAATCTGAATACAATTGTATTTAACGTGGAAAGAAACCTAACAACATTTTGGCTTCTGTAATTTTCTCTTTTAATATTTGCTGGAAAAGCCTAAATGCATCCCATATGGAAAGACAACAGGATTAAAGGTGAAACCAATTCTGCTAGAAAAATCTAAGATAAAAGTCGAAACTCAAACACAAGTAATAAATCCCATTACATATTTCTTATGGGACACTCCAACTCTAATTTTACTGAACATGTTCGCAATGGCAAGAATCAGAGAAGCAGAGAAGCACATGCTTTTTACAGGAAATTAAGTGAAGGTTTTCTGAATTATTTTGGCTACAGAATACTCGACAGTCAGGGTTTCAGTGATAGAAAAATTTCAACAATGAGGACGTCACTATTTGTCAAGTTTGATAATGCAGAAATTGATTGGCTAAAGTTTTTTTTAACTTTTCAAATGCTTAGCATTTGAAAACCAGAATTTGCATAACCATGCAAGAAGAGATTAAAAGGATTTATTAGACAAGTTTATAAAATAAATCCCAATAGAAATAGATAGACTATTTGGAAATGACTCTCACTTATGCTTTAAAGCAGTTAATTTGAATGCTTCACAGCCATATCCAAACCTATAATTTGGACGTCATAAAACATATTTTAATACAATTTCCGAGGAAGATGGAGCCTTTGAGCATTAAAGTATAATCCCTTCATTTCACAAAGACAGAAATGCTGCTCTCACAAAGTAAGAGCTGCCTAAGGCCCACCAGTATTTTTTCCCCAGCGTTATTGAGGTATACTTGACAAATACAAATTGTAGATATTTAAAACGTACAGTGTAAAGTTTTGATACATGTATACCACCATCTAGCTAATTAACATATCAGGACCACGTATGATTACGTGTGCGGAGAGAACATTTAAGCCCTATACACCCAACAAATTTCAAGAGTGCGATACAGTGATACCAACCACAGGCAGCAGGTTGTATGCCAGCCCCTCACGCCTAACTCGCCTTGTATCACTGAGTGAAAAACTCACCCAGTGAATTGACGTGAACACCAGATGGAGGTAAAACTTTACGAACTTCCAGGTATCTAAGTCTGGGTAGTATTTAGTTGCATAAAATTTGCTAGTGTAAATTTTTCTAACATAGGATAAAGGTTGGAGGGGGATGTCATTTCAACTAGTAGCTAGAAGATAATGAATAGATTCCTAGAGTGGCTTCTCTGAAGGATCGAGGTCTCTCCGTACTTTGACAAGCTTCTGAAAGATCCCAAGGTTTCCCTCAGTTGCCCTGTGGCCACTCGATCTGCTAAGAGGCAGTAGGAAGAGGGTTATTCTTACATTCTGCAAGTTGAACTGCAGCTGTTGCTTGTAGGGTGCAAATTCCTGGGCAAGCTCATAGCCCTCATGGTAAAAAGTAAATAAACCCTGAAGGAAGGACAGGAGCTGCAGAGAGATTAAACAAAAAGAAAAGAAAAGAAAAGAGAAGAAACCATGAAAACTTGCTTTAACAGCCACAATCATCAAATGTACAATACTGGGGGAATTATTTTTCACTCTGATTCCTCAAACGAATACACGTTCAGTCTGTGTTTGAAAAGGCAGACAATAGATCTAAGAATAGAAAACAGAAACCGTAGAAGCATTTTAACTTCCTTGTTGGTAGACCGTGATTGAGTCTGTGAGCCTGACCCGTAGACATGTCTCAGGTTGACCGTGCTATGGTTCAAATGCATTGAACAAACATCCAGAAGGCCCACTTTAAGGGGTTAAAGGTGGGCATGGCATGGGCCCTTCCCGGGAAGAGCTTCTAATCCAAAAAGGAGACACACACACACACACACACACACACGCCAGGGAGACTCAGTGCGTAAGTCACAGCTAAGAAGGACCCAAGGGCAGGAGTCAGGAATCAGCCAGCTGAAATCACGAGAAGTGCCACCAGGTGGCAGTCCTGACGTGGGTACTGAATCGACGACACTTGAGCAAGGCGTGGGACGCCCTCAAAACGGCGGGACAAGGTGGGCCGAAGCAGGGAGCTAGATAACCCAGGTGCTTCCTATCACAGTTAGAGGAAACGCTTCTCCAGAAAACCACATTTCTATGATCCTGGCCTTCTCATCTCAAATTCACACGTGCTTTTTTATCCGTAAATCAAGTAAGATTGGCTCTCCACAGAAATACAGGGCACACTTGTTTGCGTGGGATAATTTATATTGGGGAAAAATGAGTTTAAGTATTTTCGTTCAATTCACAGGGAGTTTAGTCACAGATTTACCTACTAATGCAATCTCTCCCACAACTACTTCTTGCGATCGACTTAGAACATATTTTTGAAATGTTGCTTATAAAATACCTGTAACTTATTATTTTAAATTAAGGCAGACACACAATTTGAAACCACTTTCCTGTGTGAATAACATCCTGCCGCTTCCTCTGTCTGGGGCGCAGGGAGGATTTGGCTAAGCACCAACTGGTTCTTTGTTATGATTTCTAACAGGTAAACACTGGGTCTATCTGCAGACAAGGACCTCACGTCTTTCTCCCTACAAGCCAATCTCACGCAAAGTTATGTCCACGTCAGAAAGCAGATACTTTCAACTCACTTTTGCCCCGTAGTTATCCTTTGAAGGGCTTTTCTTCTCTTGTCGAACATTTTCTGATATTGCACCCAAACGCACTGTTTTCCATTTTAGAATCATTTATTCTACACTTTCAGTTTTATGCCATCTGATAATTATTATAGTTAATATACCTGGAGAAACTCAAATCATTCTACAAAGAAGATACCTGTACATGCATGTTTGTTGCAGCTCTATTCACAAGAGCAAAAACACGAAACCAACCATGTTGCCCGTCGAAGCTGGACTGGATTAAAAAAATGTGGTACACATACACAATGGAATATTATGCAGCCATAAAGAAAAACAAACATACGGACTGTGCAGCAACTTGGATGGATTTAGTCTATCACACTCAGTGATCTATCACAGAAACAAAGAACAGAGTACCATATGTTCTCACTCATAAGCAGACCTTGAACAATTATAATACTATCAGAAAGGGATTGGCAGTAGTGGAAATTATTATAAAACCTAAATATTCAGGAGATTATCCTAAAATGACGCTACAGTATATCTGGCAAATTATCCTGCGTGAGCACATATCATGTGACCTAAGCAAACCAACCACAGCCTGAACAGCATTCAGAACGCCTTCATGAGGGTTTGGACATGCAGAGTCAAAGCTCCCCAGAGAGAAAACAAGAAACTGTTTTGAAACGTATCAATAACACAAGTTTTCTGAACACTGGAATAATAGTTTACAAAGTTGCTCAGGAAGTATTGTTTCATGTTTTTGCCATCTATAATTAGTCCACGATTAAATTGTCTCATTACAAACCCAATGGCATGACAAAGCAGATGCTATTTTAAAATCATTCTGAGTATAAAAGTTAGTCAAACTTGTAAAGAAGGTTTAAAAAATATCTGTGATGCTGCTGGTGGGAAAGCAAGCTAGTACAACCTCTTTGGAAGACACTGGCAATTTCTAGAAGAAATAGACATTGGTTTTCCATAAACCCAGAAATCCCTCTATTGGGAATATACCCGGAGGAACTGAAATCATTCTACAAAGATACCTGCACAAGCATGTTTGCTGCAGCTCTATTCACAATAGCAAAAACATGGAACCAACCGTGTTGCCCATTGAAGCTGGACTGGATTTAAAAAATGTGGTACACATACACGATGGAATATGATGCAGCCATAAAGAAAAACAAACAAATGGACTTCGCGGCAACTTGGGTGAATTTAGAGTCGATCATATTCTAAAACAGAGTACCATATGTTTTTACTCATAAGTGGGCCTTGAACAACTATTATACTATTAGAAAGGGACTGGCAGTAGTGGGAAACTGTCAGGGGAGGTGGGTGGGATTGGCAGTTGAGGGAAACTGCTAGGGGAGGGAGAGGTACACCTCATCAACAAGGATACCGCACAATCGTTTGTATACCTCACCCTGAATTGTACGCCACATCTTTATAATAATAAAAAATAAATTTAAAAAATATAATGGTGATAAATCTTTCTATGAAACACCGAATCCTCTGAGGTCTACAATATTCTGAGTTTTCCGAACACAGGAAAGCATACTGATGTTTCAAAGCTTTGAAGTAAACCACTCAGAACCCCACAAACTGCCGGTGGTCATCCTTGGGCTACGCAGGTTTAGAATATATTTCAATTCCCCTGTCACGGCTTGATGCTCCGGCCCTAAACTTAGGTTACAGGTAGCACATTCCTAATCCGGAAACCCGAAACCCAAATTGCTCCAGAATCCAAAACGTTTTGAGCGCCAACATGACGCCACAAGTGGGGGATTCCACAGCTGACACCTTTGCTTTCTGATGGTTCGGTATACATGAACGTTGCTTCATGCACAAAATTATTTAAAAGACTGTATACAATAAGGCTTGGTGCGGTGACTCCCACCTGTCATCCCAGGGATTTGGGAGGCTGAGGCAGGAGGATCGCCTGAAACCAAGAGTTTGAAATGAGTCTGGGCAAAATGGGAGATGCCATCACTGTAAAAATTTTAAAAAATTAGACGGGGCATGGTGGCATGTGTCTGTAGCCCTGGTGACACAGAAGGCTGAGGTGGGAGGACCACTTGAGCTCAGGTGACAGAGGCTGCAGAGAGCTGTGACAAGGCAACAGAGGGAGACCCTGTATTCTTAAAAAAAAAAAAAAAAAA